CTTACGCTCTGCCTGCACCCACACAGTGGAAAGTGGCTGGAGCAAAACAATCAACTGGTCGACTGCTCTCGTAAATTCATGTTTTCTAGCCTCAAGGGGGCCCTTAACTGCTGCCTGGCTGTTCTAATCCAAGTCCCTGGTCCTTCCCTTTCTTCTCCCCAGATGACTATTTCACACCTCCTCCTCTCTCCTCAGACCTCCAACACATCTTCCCTCATCCTAATTATCTGCCGAGGATATTGAATCTTATTTCACCAAGAAAACTGAAGCAACAGAGACCTTCTGTTGAACAACAGAAATTTATTTTCTCACGGTGTGGAAGATGGAGGTCTGAGATCAAGGCCTTGGTGGGTTTGCTTTCTTCTGAGGCCTCTCTCTTTGGCTTGCAGACGGCCGCCTTCTCATCGGGTCCTCACAAGCTCTTTACTAGAAGGAGGTGCACTCCTGGTGTCCCTCTGTGTGCTCTAATCTCTTCTTGTAAAGGGGCCAGTCAGATTGGATTAGCTTCATTTTAATGACCTCTTTAAATGCCCTCTATCTCAGATACTGGGGGTTGGGGCTTCAACATATGAATTTTGGGGCGGAAGCACAATTCACTCCCTAACACACTCCGCCCCCATGTTCTTTGTATTTCTACACAGCGTCCGTCACCTGGTGACCAACCCATTTACTTCCCTTGTTGCTTTAATTGTCTGTCTCCACTACAACGTGAATTCTAAGAGGGCAGGGACGTTTGTCTATTTTGTTCACTTCTGTATCCCCAGTGTCTAGAGCAGCACCCAGCACATAGCAAGCACTGAACACATATTTGTTATTCAATTAAATTACAAATTATCTGTCTCGTGAAGCCACATGAATTTGCAGTCCCTAACCTCTTTCTCTTCTAAGGGTGGTTTTCAATCAATAGGCATTTATTTAGCATCTACTCTGTGCCTAGTCTTGTGCTCCAGAACTATGAGGAATCTACAAAACAAAAACCATAATAAAATCCCCAGTCTTTTGGCAACAGTATGCTCTCAAAGTCGCTTACAAACAAGTACACCTATGGTGCAAACTTCAAGTGCTATAAACAGATTAGCCGGCGCCAAAGTACTCAGGGAAAACTTATCTGTAAAATGGGGGTAACAAATTCTTAGGCTTTGCACAGGTTTGTGAAGATGAAATATGGTCAGAGTTTACCAAACACTTGATATGTTAAATTAGGAAGAGATTAGAAAGCTATGAAGGACAGGACTGTTGGGGGCCACATAAGCTCCCTTGTGGAAGGTGCAGGAGGATCAGGAAGGAGTTAACCTGCCCGGCAGCACCCAGGGGTCTGCGGGCCTGGTCAGCCAATATAAGCAGATCCAAGTGATGTAATTCTTGTAACACGAGTCCTTGCTGGGGTGCAGCGCTGGGGCAGCTGGGCCTCACAGAGGAGCCCCTCTCTAGCCTGCCCGCACAGTTCAATTTACTCTCAATAAAAACGCAATAAAAAGCTCACTTGCCTCCAGACTGTTGAATGCTTTTGACTCCACATTATTTGGAATAGAAATCCTGACTGACAGTATTTTGGGGTAGAAGATGGATGAAGCCTCCTTAAAGGGATAAAAGAGGGACAGGAGGAAATAAAGAGGTTGTATTTTACCAAACTGGAAGGCAGTTTAAAGATATTGCAAGGTTTAAAAAACACAGAAGCCAGAGATGAAATCATTTCTAGCAGCAAACGGCAGGCATGCAGAATGACTTGCGCTGCTCAGCGGGCAGGGAGACCACCCCCCTTCTCGAGACTCACGTAGCTTTGGGGAAGGCGGGCCACGGGAGCTCTACCTCTGCACTAGCACAAAGCCCAGAGTTTCAAACTCTCAAGTCGGGCCAGTTTGGGGTGCGCTAAGGCTCGGATATGTTAGCACTACCCGAAGTGTTTAAGCTCCTATGCTTTTATATATGATATTATATGAAGATATAAGATCAGTTCACTGTGTATAGTAATAATTATATTTTAGTTAGGTTTTGGACTATTTCAATGATCTGGGTTGTCTCTTGTTAGTAAGACTAATGGCATACTGGCTTTAATCAGAAATCCCAGCAAATTCTTTAAAGAATTGAATCCATTGCCTCCCTTATGTTCTCCACCTTTACTGCCCATTAAATCTGAAGTGTGTACAGGCTTTTACAAAACACAGTAAGTACAACAGTCCTTATTCTCAGGCAGGCCCCTTTCCAGCCACCACCGGCTCCCTGCTGGTCTTCTCTGGTCTAGCCTGGGGTTCTGAACACGGAAGATTACGAGGATGGGGGTGGTGACAGCAAAGGTGGCAGTTTCTATGATATCAACATCTGACACTTTGGGGAATAATTTGAGCATTCCTAACTTGTGCTCAATGCAATTTTGTGACTTTCTCACTCATAAATTTAATCCATGCTCAACTGTTTTTATTTCTAGGTCATATAACCCTTTATAGGGTAATAAGTACTATAATTTTACTACCCACTGTGTAAAATAACTCCCTCCTCTTACTCGTCTCTCTTGGCTTCAGGAGATCCTCGTTAATTCTCGTATTGATGGTCAAATCTCTATTTGCTCTATTTACAAATATAACTTCAGACACTTCTCCTTTTAGGATTTTCATAGGCCCAAATGACCTAAAGTTCTAGACTGTCTATAAATAATCATCACATATATAAACAAAAACAATCTAAGCTACATTGAGTGAATCTGATTTTTAAAAAAAGGAGGGGGGAACAGACAGGCAATAGAAAGTCAAGACAATAATTATGTTTTTATGGCTGATTATACGTTTCCATCTCCTTTTTACTGTAAACTCCTTGACAGAAGCTCGGTTTCACTCCCTTTTTACCCCCAGAACAGTGGTTCTCAAACACTAGTTTGCATCTGAATTAGCTGAAGGGCTAATGGGTTGCTGAGCCCCAATCCCAGAAGTTCCCCTTCGGTAAATCTGGGGTGAGTCCGTATCTACTGAGTTCCCAGGTGAGGGGGCCACCGGTGGAGAAGCACTGGCTCACCACATGGCTGGCTCTCTCAAGACGCTGGACTGAATGCACCGACCCCACGGGAGGGAAGACATTAGACAAAGACGGTTAGGATTAGTACATTAGATGAGATAGTAGCCAAGGTGCCATAACCAACAGACCCCAAGATAGATAGTGCTTAATACAAAGTCAGTGCCAAGGCGAGGCGAGTAAATGCTGAGTGAAAGGGAGGTGAAAACAGACCTAGGTCACAGCCCTGGCTCTCTTATCAGCTTCCCGAGATCACTGGGCCCGTCTCAGGCCTTACAGGCCGATTTTGGACTCGAGCCCTCAGGTAGCTTTCCAAGAGTAACGACAGCGGGATGCTCGCAAGCCCGACCTCACCTGTGCAGGGTTTTGCTCCTCGGAAGTTATCACAAGTCTAGTTTTTCCCCTGAGAGTCTTTCCGTGCTGCCTGTAGTTCTGTGGACAAAAGGTGTTGCAAGGGGGTAAAGAAGCACACAGACGGACAAACAGTCCATTGGTTTGATAGAGCCATCTTTAATTTTGTCATTTTCCAGTATTCATAATAGTTTTTTTGAAAGGGAAAAAAAAAAAAGACTTGGAAGAAATATGCCCAAAGAGGCTCGCTCTGGGACTATTGATACCCCATTCCAAGAAAAGACCCCAAAAAGGATCTTTTAATTTGGATTCTGGGATGCAGTGTTTTGTGGATTTGTATCTGTTAATACAAGGACCACTCTATTGCCTTCTCTTAAGACACATGAGTAAAAATTCGTTGCCCAACATACTAGTCTCTTGTGTATAAATGACGATCATTATACTCTTGGCAAAAAATTAGAAGCAATTTCTGTTACAAAATCAATCTTGCTAACAGATCCATTTCCATTTTCAGGTGTGGGAAACAGAAGTACGGGGAAGCTAGGTTTCGGAGTGACTTGTTATTACTTAGAGAGATGAGGTAGAGGCGAGATGTGCAGCTTCCACACGATGTTCAGGCCTCACTGCTGTGCAGTCTGGCAGGATACACTTTAAAGTATCTCTGCAGTAAGTTCAGGAGACAGAACTTGGGACTTGCCTCGGGGGCTCTGAGGAGCGAATGTGACCAAGGCTGGCAGAAACCAGATTTAAAGCTGGCAGCTATTGGTTGAGTAGCTGATAGAAACAGTCTCAGTAGTTCAGATCTTACACTTCCAGGACCCACCTTCAACAGAAGCGTGGTTGGAGGCTCATGTAAGGAGTAAAGGTTTTGACCTTGGATTTATTTGCCTCTCACTTCCTGATACTGTCCAAGCTAACTGTACTCTCCGAACCTCCCTTCCTCAGCGTCAAATATATTTCACAGGGGGTTGGTGAGATTAAACTGAGAGGTAGATGCAAGGAAGTACTTACTAGAAACATTATCTAGGGACTGGGCTCTTGTACAATAAATAAATCAAGTTGAAACAGTACAGCTTTTTCATAAGATTATATCCTGCATTTCTAAATTTTATATATATATATATATATATATAAATGTGCTGGAACAATCAGTATAATCTCTTGGGAAACAAGTTAAGCAGTTTAAATACATCTAAGCAAGCACCACCTCAGTGACAAATGAACTATAATAATCAACTTATTTTTATGAGATCTGAACACAAGTTGGTCCAAATGGCATCCCAAGGGTTATAAGTCTAAGATCTCTACATATTACTGTAAAAGGGTTCAGATAGATAAAGTGACCACCTGTGATAGTACGTGCTTGAGAGAGACACAAAGGATACCCCCTTTTGCCAAATTACCTCTCACCTCAGTCACACCTGTGTAGATAAATTCAGGTCAAGGAATGTGCCTCAAAAATTGAGGATTCAAACGGGCTGGTGTGGCTCAGGGGATTGAGCACTGCTCGGTGCACCAAAAGCTCTCCGGCTGGATTCCGGGTCAGGGCAAATGCCCGGGTTGCTGGCTCGATCCCTGGTAGGGGGTGTGCAGGAGGCAGCCGATCGATGTTTCTCTCTCTCCCTCTCCCTTCCTCTCTCTCTAAAACCAATAAAAACAATTTTTTTTTTTTTTAAATTGAGGATTCAGAAAGCTATGCCTTCTCTGTTTTTTGTTCTGGTTTCCTGGCCACAGCCTTTTGCTGATGGGATTTAGAAACTGCTCTATCTGAAAGCCACAAAGCATTATTCATCAATTGAAGCCAATATCGGGTACACCAAATGAAATGTCCCCAAACTGCAATTTTTGGCTTGTGTGGAAAGCTGCCTTTTTTTATCGGGGCGCACAGACCGCAGGACAGAAAAGGCCGTTTTGTGACTAGTTGAAGCTCCCTACAGGAACCCCACCAGCTTCTTCACCTCCTGGCACACGGGATACGCTAATTCCTTGGCTTTTGCTGACCCGGCTTGTAAAACCTTCTCTAAGTGGCCCTTGTCCGTCTTCAGTTTTTCAATTTCACTCTTGATTGGAGCAAATTTCTCTATCACAGCATCTGCCACCAGCAGCTTGTAGCGAGCGGTGTCCACCCCTGCGCTGCGGCGGACCAGCTCCTCGGCCGGGAGCCCGGTCACCGCGGCGTGAATGGCAACCAGGTTGGAGACGCCCGGGCGGGCCGGGTCCAAGGTGACCTCCGAGGTGAAGTCCGTCACCGCCTTGCGGAACTTCAGCACGATCTCCTCGGGGCTGTCTGTTATTCTCACCGTGGCCAGTCTGTCCGGGTCTGATTTCGACATTTTGGCAGAAGGATCACGGAGGGATTTTACCTTCTTCATCGAAGCTTAGGCAAAAACACCAACACAACACAACACAACAAAATCAATGACAGCATAAAAAAAAATCACCAGGAATGGCAGTCTCTGGATCTTTAAAGAAGCCAAGAATACCAAACGACTTCATTCTTTTTATCTGATTATATAAATATTAAATTCTCACTGTGCAAAACTCAAGCAATTCATACGGGCCTGAAAGTAAACATCATCTGAAATGTGTAATGACACTGTTAACATTTTGTTGATCCCACTTTTATGCATTTCGAATGCACATGTCCACATAAAAATGTATAATCTTATACAAATAAAATTGTATCAATCACACTGACTTGCTGTGCACACCTTTAAAAAAAGCATTGTCTATTTCTTCCCTCCCCTTCTCTCTTCCTCTCTGTGCTTCCCTGCTAGCGAATCACCCCTACCCACAAACACTGCCTTTCCTGTCCCCAAACCAACATTAACAATCTGTGTCAACCCTTCCAATTCTTTACCCATGATTATAAACTATATACGAACACACACACACACACACACACACACGAGAAGCTTGTTTATTACTCTGATAGAATCAAGATGTTAAGCTGAGCTTCATAAACCCGTGTTAGTAATAAGTGCCTGTTTTATGGCTATTACAGAAGCATATAAAGTTGAAATCGGTACAATAACAATAGGCCAAAACATTAAAATGGTACTTATTGCTAAAAGAAGGTTGATTTGGGTGCATGGGGTGCCCTGAATTTATCTGTGGGAACTGCTGGAATAACTTAGGAAATTATACCCACCTTAGGTTTCTAACTTGATACTGGGCACATTACACTCCTTTAAAATGCTGTCAGCTTAATAAAGATGGACAGTACTTAGGTTCGGTGATTCCTGCCCCTGCCACAAGTCTACACAACTACAAACGTGTTGATAGAGATTTACAGCTCCTTTCCGGAAGAAGATTCCAGACTAGCACAGCCGGGCGAGCTGCGGCTGGTCTCTGTCTCAGTAGGTGGACTGGACATTCTGCCTCGGTTGTGTCTTTAAGAAGGCAGAGTGTGAAGATCATCAAGGCCCTCTTGTTTCATCCAGATTATGATCCAGCAGTTCTCAACTCATGACTTTTGTTTTGTTGTGGATAGGGAAGACACGGTAAACCGGTTTTGGAACCAGGAGAACTCAGTGTAGGGCCCAGCTTCACCACTAACTAGGTACAGGACTTGAACACAAAGTTAGTCCTGGCACGCCTTAGTTTTTTCATCCATAAAATAGGGAAAGCTACCTGTCCTGCCAAATGAGATGTACATATATAACTTGATAACTTACATAATACTTTATACATGAAAATGATTATTTTTAGTTTTTAGTCTCTCCCATACTTCTCAAGCTTTTTTGGTTATTTTATTCAGTTATCCAATGGGGTCTGCTAGTCTTACATGACAGAGAAAGATGGGGATTCTAGCTATAAATCCTGAAGCCCGTCCATGAGGAAGCCGGGTGCAATTCCAAGAAAGTTCCAAGCTTCAGTCCATTATCCAGTCCTCTCTTCGAAACACGCCCTGATAGCTAGACTTACCAGGTGACCACTATGTAAGTTATATGAATGTCTAATCACTGTGCTGTACGCCTGGAACTCATGTAATATTGTATGTCAATTGTAACTGAAAAATAAAAAAAGCTTGTTTTAAATACCAAGGATAAAAAAAAAAAAAGGCCCCGATGTATCAATCACGTGTTGGTTACTTACTTAGAATGGACTTGGGCACCGGGAAGAACTCCCCATACTTCTTGTTAAACCCACGCGCCAGATCCTGAACCAGCTCCATGTGCTGGACTTGATCCACTCCGACAGGAACGTGCGTGGACCTTTAATAAAAGACAGACAGAGGAGCTCGCGAGGCTCCTGCTTATCCGGAGAAGGCACCGCGAGCAGCTGCCTTTCCTGGGCCTGTCTCCCTGCTGGTGCTCAACCAACGTTCACCAGCCGCAGAGGGGACGCTGGGACCCGCGCCTCTGTCTGTGTGCCAGGCAGACGCCAAAGAGACGCTGGCTCCTGCAGCTCTCCCCCTCCCACGGCACAGTGCGGCAGGGACCCCACCGGGCCGGGCCTGGCCGGAGCGGGAGCGGGGTCTGAACAGCGCGGGGCCCGAGGCGTGGCTGGGCTTGAAACCACCCGGTCCCCGCACACCCAGCCTTGGCCAGGCGCCTTTCCCTTCGGAGTTTGCGCTCACCCTTGAGAGACACTCTGCCCTCCTCCGATGGACATGGCACACAGCGCGCGCGGGCGAGGTTTCCTCCCTGCCGCACAGGGCGGAACTCAAGATCTTTGTGAAATACACGCTCTTTTGTTTCCAAGTACATTGCAGCAATCACGGGACAATTAATACGCTGCAGGGAACTTGAAATACATGAGCAAAATCCATCAGCACACTGCAGACGGATCCCAAAAACAACGTCGGATGGACAAAGAAAGTTGCAGGAGACGCAGAGTGCACTGACATTTCTGTAAATCTTAAAGCACATATGAAAATTCTATATATCGCTTACCAACACGTATGTAAGTTTAAAAACATATTGGAAGCTCCCCCACAAATTCATGATCGTAGCTGCCTCCAGAAAGGGAGGGGAAAGGATGGGCCTGAGGAAAGGAACAAAGGAGACCTGAATTGTATCTGTAATATTTTATTAAAAAATGGAGATGTGAAATAAAAATGATCAGAATATAGGAACTGTATTTATAATTCTTTTAATCCTGTATATAGTTTGCAGCGTTGAATGATGGCGAGTTATGGCAAACGGGAAGAATGAACCATTATAGAGAAGTCCTGAGGGGAAAACTTTATACCGAAGTATTGCTGGGGAAGGAGATGGGTGACTTTAAGTCTTTAATTTTGGCTGGGGGGGGTTTACATTTGGTAGCACAGTTAATAAAGAGCTGTAATTTCTTGATCAAGGAAGTTTAATATTCCCCTTAAAGTGAACCTGAATATTTAAATAATTGTAAATTGTGAGAGGAAAGATAACAGCTTTCAAAACAGCCACAGCAAAGGAAAACTGCTAGAAACCTATGGTGCTTTGTTATCGGGAGGAGAGCCTCCTAGCCCAGGGTTAATGAATGATTCTTGAAAAACTGGCAGAGGTCTTTGGTTTTCCTTGCGAATCACTGTCCATAGGCTACCGGTCCATTTACCGTAGTTGTCTAGAGCATGAGAGAGTGAAAGGTAGTTTTGACCAGCATAAAGACCAGCTACTTTAAGACAGTAAAATACTTGAGAACATTTTGAGAAATTTTGAAATATCCCTCATAATTATAATCGTTTTTATTTTTGCAAATTACTTTCCAGTCCCTGTTGTTGTATATATGAGTATTAGAATAAGCGATAGGTTTCAAAGCAACTCTGACATATCTTTTGCATGAAAGTCAAATAAAATCCATTTTATTTATTTTNTCAAAGCAACTCTGACATTTCTTTTGCATGAAAGTCAAATAAAATCCATTTTATTTATTTAAAAATCCCTGAACATTAACTGTATTTTCATGTAGTTCCTCATATACTCACGCTGTGTGTGTGTGTGGGGGGGGCGTGTGGGGGTGTATGTGTGTGTGTGTGTGTGTGTGTGTGTGCATGTGTGAGATGCAATAGAGCACTCACTCAAGATAACAGGCTTGGCGGTCAGGCTAGCACCAAATCCTGACCCTGCCACTCTTGTCTTATGTAACTTTGGTTAAATCATAGAATTTGTATCACAGGCAACTTTCTTACTATAAGTTGGAGTAATAACAGTTACCCCACACTATTGGTGTGGAGATTAAATGAGACATAGCATGTAAAGTGCTTAGCACAGTGCCTGAAACTTGGCCAGCTTTCAAATAACGGCGGCTACGTAGAGAATTCTCAAATGGTGTATACGTATTGTACTTCAGAAAGGTGCTCAGGACACACTCCCTAAAGAACTAGAGGTTCAATCGTTACCCGACTCTGATTCCAACTTCTCTCCATCTTGGCCAGAAATAGGGACAGTGTGTGAAGGGGGAAAAGCCCAGGTCATCAAGCATACTTAGCAAAGTGGATAAACAAGACCAATGGAATATTTATCTATATGTAAATTTTCACAGGAGAGTAAAAATAAAATATAATCAGCACAGGTCAATGAGTTGGCTTATTTTTCTCTTGTCCCCTAAATCTTGACATTTCTAAAAACAGTCCTGACCCTCTAGTTTTCTCTCATCATGGGAGAGCACATCAACTTTCATGGGAGGATCTGCATGTCCCTTCTCTTCTGATTTCTAGGGCTCTGTTGCTAGCTCGCTAGCTCTCTGAAGGCTGAGGGCTGCATCTCTGCCTTCCTACTAGATACTGGCATTAAATATCCCACACTCACTCCCAAACTCATAACAATCTTTGTTGAAAATCCCAAGATAGTTAACAAAATCAAAAGGAAGCGTGAGTATAGACAGAGGATCTCAAAGTGTGATTAACAACCCATCTGACCACATGATGTCATTTTGTACTTGGAAAGATGAAAAAAGACTCAAAAAAACAATTTCTGAAAAGAGAGAAACTGATATACAAATGGACAATGGCCAGACAATAAATGACCAATGAACCTATGCCCCAAAACCTTCAGAGCCACCAGACCAGGAGGCCAAATCACAACCTCTGCAGCCACTGGCCCAGAATGGTCGAGACTTTGACAATGACCGCCAACGTCCCAATTCTTTGTACTCACTTTGTCCAACTCAGGACCAACCACAGAAAGTCAAAATGCTCCCCAGACAAATCCCGTAAGATGCCCACTTCTGCTTCCAGCCTCTGAGAAACACAGCGATGGTGGCTGGCTCCCTTGCTGGGCCAGCTCTGTCTGAATAAATCGTCTGTGTGCTCTCATTTGGGTGGACTTTGTTTAGTTCAAAGATGATCACTAGTAGAACGGGAAACAGAAGGTACACCTTCCGAATCGCTGGAGTAGATAAAAGCAAAGCAAACACGATCTCTATAGCAAAAGACAAAAAATAAAGAATCCTAAAAAACAACAACAACAGAAAACATTTAAATGATGTGGAAAAATCTAAGACAAAAAAGCCAGGATGCCAGTTTTCTTGGAAAATACACATAACACGTCTTCACAGAAAGGAGGAGCCACAGTAGTTGGAGTGGGGGCGCTGGTGTCAGGCAGCTCTGCGGTCAGACTCCTGCTCTCCAGCCGGGTGTTCCTGGGCAACTTATTTAACCTCCTTCGGCCTGTTTTTTTTCATTTTTAAAACTGACTAGTAATAGTTCCCACACAAGGGGTCCTTTGAGGAGTAAAATAATGCGTGCAAAGCTCGCAGTCTAGTGCCTGGCACACAGAATGCAAACAAGAACTGTTAGCTTAAGAAACTGATTTGAAGGGAATGCACCAATATGGTAATAAAAACAGACATAAGGAGCAGTGATTTTTAATTTTTCCTATTTAATACAGAAAGAATGTTTTAACTGTATTAGAACATTGAAATCAACCTGTGAGAGGCTTGACTCTCCCACTACTGGACCCTAAAAAAAAAATAAGCTTTCTGAAATAAGCTATAAAATAAGCTTGTTGAGAGCTTGTCTGTCTTGCTTCTCTCAATGTATTTCCAGCGCCTCGTAGAGTGGAAGCCACTGTAATTTATACGAAGTCACTACAAATAAAATTTATAAGAAAGCCAGTTCATGATCAGTATAGAAGATGAAAGCATGACCTCGGAGTCAGACTTTCTGAATTTAAATCACAGCTCCACCAGCTACTGGGCGCGTCACAGCCAACTTTCTTACCTTTTTTAAGCCTCTGTTTCCTCTGTAAAATGGAGATCATAAAGGTCCTACCTCATATAGCTGTTTCAAGGGTTAAATGGGATAACCGAGCATAGTACCCGATGGCAAGAGCTCAGTAAACACTAGCTATTGATATAATATATATTCATTAACATCTGACATGATGAAGTAAAAATGGTGAAAGGAATTTCGATACCATTAGAGACCTTGGTGTGAGGCGCACTGTGACTTTTTCAAGCCACGATCATTCTCCTTTTCCGTGGCTGACTCTCGCCACAAATGTAAACGTCGACAAAGAACCGCAGAGACGGGCACAGGCCTGGGCAGCCTCCCTGATGCGTGTGGGTGCAGAACATGCTGGAAACTGAGAGCCCACGGGTCTGGTTAGGTCATTCCGAAGCCGAGAATTCCTTTAATTTCGGGAAGACAGGGAGAGAACCATGAATGGGCAAGGCGAGACGCGGAGACCGTGGCGACGGGGCGGGAAGCAGTTTCTCCGCCGCGAAGGCTGGCGGGTGACTTTAGGAAACTCCAGAATGACGGTCAGGCCTTTGTCCGCTGCTCGTTTCCACACAGCCTGGAGCAGAAAGTCACTGGCCCGACGAGTGGGAAAATGAAAATGCTCCTTTTGACGATTCGGTGCCCGCCACCCTGCCCACGCCCCTCCCCGAGGTGCACGCGCCCCCGTGTGCATTTCCCTCCGGTCCCCAGACTTCGCTGCTCCTGTCTCCTAATCACGGCGAGGTGACCCCCTGCGGGGGTCACCTTGACGCTCCCAAACCAAATTAGCCAACAGGGCAGGTTAAAAAGCAATTACGGTAGCCCGTAGGAAATCACAATGGACTGCAACTAACACAGAAAAAACAATTACCATAATCAATACACTTTAAGCACATCAAAATGAATATTTCCACATGTCAAAATGGTTCCAGATTTACAAAGCAACCAAACTAAACAGAAAACACATTTCGTTTTCATAATCACTCTGCGTGCGTCTTTGCCTCATGTCGGACCCTCGCCTCTTTTCTTACCATTCGGTGAGGTTTTTGCTTTAAAAAAAAAAAAAGATTTAAAAAATTTTAATTTTTTTCACCTGGCCCTATTGCTCCACTTGCCTTCTTTCTTCATCTGATTTTAGTTTGTTTGTTTCTAGTCTTTCCTCCCCCTGCTCCTGCTGCTCCTTTCACCTCCTATAATTTATCTTGGCCCCACTTCTCATCCGCTGAGTTTACACTTTACATTAATTCAGCCTGTCTTTGATTCTGCTCGCTTATGGGGCTTAGTCTCTTCACATTTGCAGCTTCTCTCCTCATAGGCTTCTTTTCACTTCAAATAATTTAGTGCTGCTCTTTTAAAATTTATACCCTCCATAACGATATCCATATTAATGTCTTCTCTTTTTCTCCGCAATCTTTTTTTTTTTTGCTCACCCCGAGTGTGCGTTCTTAGACACAACATAAAACAAAAGCCTTTCATAATTTTGATTGTTATAACTTCTGTCACATAATTATGCGTCTGATCTTCTCTGGTGACTAAACCATTTTTCTTTTGCTGAGTTCCTCGCGGCATTTACGTTTATGCAGGATCCACCCCAACCCTTTGGCAGAATTAGTGTCCAGATGAATAATCGTTGCCTACATATATCTGCTCGCAGAGACTTGGTCTCTTGGGGTGGGGGTTTTTCCCCCTACTTCTTTGGCTGTTTGTGAGTTTTCCGTGCCATTGCCTTTAACCAGCCCAGCTGGGACAGGAGTTCGATGCTGTTTTTTCTTTCGTAAAAGACTAAGTCATCATCCCTGGTTGCTTCTTAGATATGCTGTGATGACTCTCTAATGTAGCAATTCCTGTTGAAGACCTACAATGTGCAAGGTCTGGTGCCGAGTACCGGCAGATAGACCAGGTTTTACCATCTAGGGAGTTGAGGCTCCAAGGAGGAGAGAGAGCCCAGGATGAAGCTGTCGCTTCCTCTGGCTAGGCCCCCTGCAGTATCCCTGCCTCAGTGAATGGCAACGACACCAATCCAGGAGCACAGTCAGAAACCTGGGGTCATCCCTGACACCTCCTCATACACATCCAATCTGTTATGAGGTCATATCCATTTTACCCCCTAACATCTCATAAGTTTATCTACTCTCTTCATCTTCACTATCACCATCATGATCCAAACAGACTTAGTAAAGGAGCCTCTTCATAGACCACCCCAGCTGCTTTTGTCGCCCAATTTATTCTCTGCATTTTAATCAGTTCTCTTTTTAAAGTATACATCCAATTATTTCATTCTGTCCTTAAAATGCACAAATAGCCTCCCATTGCTTTTAGGAGAGGGTCCTGGGTTGTCTGTTGACATCTCAGGGCCCTTTTCTCCCTTCTCTCCTATTCCTTGATTTTCAGGGGCTAGCAGCCTGAAAGCTCCATTTCTCAGAGCTCCTTCCAGGAGGCTCTGGCTCAGTGGTGGCACCTGCTTGACGGCTGGAAGGGGAAAGAGAAAGAGAAGGAAGTATTGCTTCGGCAGTTGTGGGTATGTGGACATGAGCAGGCTGCTGAAATGAGATTTGGCCAGCAGCTTCCAGGATCTCAAAAAGACTTGGGACAGGCTGGCCTCCCGGACAAAGGATGTAATTCAAGAACTGGATGTCTCCAAAGCAGTTGGAGGAACTGATTATCTCAATTGTCCTCAATGGCAGTAGCCTGATCCCCGGTTACGGTGACTCAGCTCTTCTCTGGAATTACCAAGCAGGACGTTTCCGACCAGACATCTTACTCCCTGCCCTCTCTGTTTCGGGCTCTGCTTACTCAGTTTCTGGAGGCCTCTGTTTCCTCACTGGCCCCTCACCTCAGCTTTTGCTTTCACTATCTCCTTACCCTTTTCCCCTGTTTCCCTGTTCGAGTTCTTGAGAAAGAGAAAGTGATTAACCTCAGTCCATGCATAGTACCTTTTTTGGGTTTGTGGCATTACAGGTGCTAAATAAGTGTCATCTATTAATAAAAACTGTGTGTGTGTCTGTGTGTGTGTGCATGTGTGTATATAGAGAGAAAGTGAGAGAAAGATTCACTTAATATATAGCCAGCTATTTGAAATCAGATACTTAGAAAAATAATGCAGATGCAAAATAAAAATGATGAATGCTTGCTATTTTTTGAGTATTCTGTCTCTCTTCAAATATCTGCTATTTTCTTATACTCTCCACTTCACATGGTCTGAGCTCTCCATTTCTGGCTTCCTTACCAAGCATGCCACACAATCACATCAGTCTGTCATCCATCTACCTGAAAGGCTCCTCTTCCATTCCCTTCCCTGACCACGCGCCACTCATCTGAATGCTGATTTTGACAAAAGCAAACCGTAACTCTATACTTGCCCTGGGTGAACACTGGAAGAAGAGGCCACGTATAGATTTGCTGGTAGGAGACAATGTAAATGGTTTTTTTTCTATTTATCTATCCATCTACCTACCTACCTTTGTTTTTTTAATCTATCTACATGTATAATGTAGACATTCACATACACTCGGGTTATGACCTTTTGCAAAATCCAGCAACTTCTGAACCAAAACTAAACAAAATCAAACCAAAAATACCCCAAGTGCTTGAGCTCTGTTAAGAGAAAGCAATGGTACAGGCTAAAACTCAGACCTGGGTTTGAGTCCTGCCTCTGCTACCCATTATTAAGCAAATTAGGAATTTCTAAACTTAGGGGAAGCACAGTAAACAGCCAAGAAATGTGTGTTAGCAGGATAAATGCTGTCGTGAACCACAGCTGATTTTATTGTACTTGTCTGCACGCTTTGTAGTGGTGCACACGACACACATGCCCAGGAAGTGTGGGGTATGTGCAGTGTGGCAACGGCTCCCCCGGGAGCAGTCTGTCGGAAGATGGCAGGAAAAAAGAGCCCAAAGGATCAGTCTATGAGCCGAGCATGTGCAGCCGGCAGCAGGAGGTCCAGCCTGAGACCAGACAGGAGGGAAATGTTTCTCTTAAGAAAAGGAGCATGTAAGCGTCTGCTCCATGTCTATGATCTAGTTAGGGTATTACAGGTAGGTAGTTCCCTAGGCTAAGGGAGGAGACAGGCATCTTGAATATATATAAGTACCCAGTTTTATAGAAAAATACTTTCATGTATGTAAAATATCAGAATCCTGATGGGAATAAAGAAGAATCTGCCACCATAATTCTGCTTTTAGAAAACAGGAGAAAGTGAGGAACTGTATACCATTCTCAGTACATATTCTAACCAGCAAACCGATCAGTAAGAGTTAAAGGTCTGTTTACAGCATGGGAATCTTTGTGCTCCTGGGAGTGGGCTGGGATAACTGAGGAGGGAAAGAATACTTTTCCTTGGAAGCATTAACCAGTGGTGTGAGAACCTGCCAATACTGGGCAGAGTGAGACAGACAGGAAGCTGCCAGAAAGCTCTTAGTGTTCACTTGCCTCATCTGAAATAATTATTGTTTTGTGTAAGAAAAGAGGACACTCACAACTCGAGGCATGGCTTGGCAAAAGGCAGAGTATAGGAAATATATTTACATATTTAGAACACATGAAAAATATTTCTATATTTATATATAGAAATTATATATTATATATTTGATATGTAAACATATAAAATAATATATAACAGAAATATGTAATATATGATATCTATTTAGAATATATATAAAATATTTATATATTTATATAAAAATATTTATATATTTACACATAGAAATATAATATGGCATATTTAGAATATATATAAATATTTATATAAAATATTTAGATATTTAGATATGAAAATATATAGAGATTTGGGGATCTTAAGGAACTATTTTTGCCAATTTCAGCCTTTTCAAATGCTGCTCTTGTACTCTTAAAATGTTTGCATTGGCTGTACACTAGGTGATTTCAACTCATACAAAATTTGTTTAATAACCCCCTGAGCTATGTCCCATTAACTCACTTTGTAGATGAGAGAAACTGCAGTATTTCATCATTCTGCCAATTGTATTTTGGGTAGTTGATAAAAATAGATCCATAATTTAGTATCTGTTACTGGGGAACAGATGCAAACCGATTCACATGTCTGATCCTTTCTATGTCCCCTTTCCCTGTGAAGCAGATCTATTCCTGTCAGCTTGAGTATGTATAAGACCTGAGTGGACTCCACTCCTTACTTGTACAGCAGAACGTCAGCCGCCTGGAGCACCGGGTATGTGAGCAGCCCCACGGTTCCGCCGTGCTTCTGGTCGGCAGTCTTTGCCTGCAAAGGGGGGGGGG